ATAAGTGATATGTTACTGAGAGCCTCCCACTCCAGGTTCTCAAAAGGTTTTATCCTGTTTAGTTGGAGCCCTCGACTGCAGAGCACCTCACGCATACAAATGAGCTGACCTGATAGCTTACAAGCACAGACTGGGAGAACAAAGCAAAGCTGATGCAGAAAGCAGACTGTCTTAAAAGAGGTCAGAGACTGACAACGTCTTCATCAAGTGTCAAAAGAAAGTCATGGAATCATTTGCCACAAGCTGATCTCCGTTTTCAAATAACATACAGTCGTGTGAAAAGTAAGGTTTTCACAGGATTGGCAGTTTTGAGCCTAACTCAGTGCACCCATACTGCTGCTATGGGAATGAAGAGTGTAAGGAGGAGCCAGGTGCTGATAATCAAACACACTTGATTGATCGGTCATCAGCAAGTGTGAGCACCCTCTGCAAAAGCAGAAGTTTTAGCAATTTGCTGCTCCGGAGCATTCATAGGTAAGTTAACAATATGTCACCATCTTCTCAGGAGTGGAAATGCCAGCAAATTCACCCCAAGGTCAGATCGTGCAAAGCTTAAAGAAACTGCAAAAAACCCAACAGCGACATCTCAGACGCTACAAGCCGCAGTTAAATGTTAAAGTTGATAACAGGACAATTAGAAAAAACTCAAACTGGAACAATGTCCTTTGAACAGATGAGACTAAAGTGTAGATGCTTATCCATAACGCACAGCACCACGTTTGGCGCTAACCAAGCTTATCAGAACAAACATCTCAGAACAACCCCCGAAGCACAGTGGTGGAGGGGCCATGGGTTGGGTTTGTTTTGCAACCACAGGACCTGGGCTCCATGCAGTCATTGAGTTGACCACAAACCCCTCTGTTTACAAAAGTATTCGTGATTCAAATGTCAGGATACCAGTGTGAGAGCTAAAGCTTGGTCCAAACTGGGTCACGCAATAGGACAACAACCCCAATCATAGCAGCAAATCTAGAACAGAATAAACAGCTAAAAAAAAGAAAAGAAACAAGGTGTTGCAATGTCCAGACCTCAACCTGACTGAAAATGTGAAGGAACCTGGAGAGAGCTCTGCATAAATCAGCAACAAAATCACTCCATGACAATACTGATAAAGTCATACAGAAAAGAATTACTTCAAGTTATTGCTGCCAAAGGCCAACTGTAAGCTACTGAATGACAGGTTTTACTTCATTCTTTTTCATAGGACTGTATAGATGAGTATAGATCCATACAGCCACAGACAAGGAAAAGAGGCCGAAACAAAGAGGCAAGCAACTACAACAAAATATGTTCATTTTTTGGTTATTTGGTTGGTTTTCAGAGCTAAATCTCAGTAAAGGAAAGTTTTAATATTAATAGAGTCTGGAACCTTTAGAGAAACTGTGAGGTTTATTTGCAGTGGTTATTTTCTTTCTTTGCAGCCAGCATCATGCAGGAAGCCTCAGCTGTATGCCAGAGGTAAACTACATGCTCAGCAACATAGTTTGTTTTTTAGAAACACATGCACATACAAAATGAAAGCATTATTTAGCTTTAACATAAGTGTGTATTTGGGTTAAATAAACA